TAAGCTAATTTGCTTGGCCTTGTTTGCGCTGCTTCGTTTCCTCTCTTGACTCTTCTTTTTCTTTAGACTCGGGGCCCGATGAACTTTTCCCTTACCGAGTACAGTGACTTGTATCACAGATATCCCTTTATCTCATGTTCACTTAGAAATCTCTTCACTGTAGACAACCTTCCACACCCACCCCTACACTTTCAGCCACACCTACGAGATGAATCTTAACCTGAAGCAAGTTAACAATTTTTAGTTTTGGCTACGCATTTGCAGATAATCATCCTACATCCGTTTACCCAAATTTAGTCCCCTTTATCTGTACATTTTAGGGTTGATGACAAGCATTACACCCCCATTTAACTGAAAGATTTTCAACCGTTCAACTCTTTGTACCAAAATAGACGGAATAGTAATATAATGAATTGCCATTAACTATTAATGCTGACAATAGCGCCCATGGTTCGACTAAGATCAAGCGAACCGTGGATTCAGATACATTCTTCTACTTCACCCACATTTTTTCCAGATCAACCATTCTACTTTTTTTACTATCCACCCGACCTTGCTCTCTTGCAGCCTTCAAAGCAGCCTAACATCTAATGGATCTCTTCTCCTCTGTACGGAGCTAGAGAATCGTTTAGGATGCTTGCAAAATTCGGGCCAATGTAGCTCCAATAGTGCTGCCGAGTGTGGGCCAGCCGCTCGCATTGTCACTCAAAGTCCCAAAGACACAAGGTCAGCAGGTCGATCTAAGCGAGAATGCCCTGATACAGGCGCTGGTGGTACAAGGGCGGAAGATGGGCAGTTGATCGCGTTTTCTACCAGTAAGTTAAATTAATGTTAATCTCAAGCAAATCTCTTAATGTGATCATGCTATTTCAAGGAACAAGGACTCCTGTTTACATGCAGGCATGGCTAATTCCAGAATGTTTCGGATCAGTTTGATTTGATGTTGCCTGGATCTGCATTCCGAAGTAAAAAGTGAGTGAAAGAACTTTACTGATAGGCCTCACCTGAAACGACAAACGAACAGGCCAACGTGAAGCAGGATTCTTTCAACTGACTGCTTCGTTGGGGACTTTTGCATAGAAAAGCCAATATAGTTTCTGCCTTTTATATCAAAGTGCCGCTGGATTTGTTGTCATCCACATGTTGTTGCTACTTCTGGCAATCTGATTGTCGGTGAAACAGCAATGATCGTCTTTTTTGCATTCAAAAGGCATTCTTGATGGGCAGCTTAAAGGGTACAGATTATTCTTTACAAGGCGGTCATCTGTTTGCCCCTCACGGTACAGACTCACTGCTTGGGCCCCTCAGAAGGCTGATGAGACGAGGCATAGATTGTGGTCCAATTTGAAAGAGAAAGGCAAAATCAAACTCTCTCCAAAATTCCTCATACACTTTTGTTGCAGCAGCATTTTGACCCAATTCAGGTTTCTGCTGGCTCCGAGTATATTACGAATAGGTTATGCTCGGTTAGGCGTAAGAGATGATGAATATAAGAGATGAAACCTATTTATAAATGGTATACCTTGTAATGTTTCCTTGTAATTTTATACTCTGAAGGTCCAAGACATTGTTGCTAGTTTTAGGCTCGCAAAAGGACTATTTAAAAAGACCTGTAAATAAAACCGGTTCAAATGAAGCGATGACCCAACAGAGCCGAGACACTGCATGCCCAAAATTCCATTCC